ACAGTGAAACCTCCATAAATGCACCCTCTATAAATGCACACACTCTCTAAATGCACACTCAACCTCTGGCCCAAATATATGCGTGATCTCTATAAATGCACTTTTTCTTATTGTTCTCTAAATGCACGATGTTAAAGTTCAGTCCCAAGTGCGTGCATTTATAAAGGTTTCACTGTACTATGCTTACAGAATACATATGCATTTATTAATAATTGTAGTATAATATATTGATATGTATATTTCATGTATTGCGTTCTAAATTAGCTTTATTAAAAATTGTTTTATACGAATAAAAAAATTAATATAAATCTGTTTATAAAACAAAAAAAAAAATAAAAAATAAAAAATAACTAGTAAAAAAATATCTAAAAAGCAAAAAATAACTACGATTGAATCAAATATTCAATATGAGAATGAATTAACTGAAAGTAGTTTTAAAACCAATGATACTATTGATTTAACAGAAAGTACACCAACTGAGACAACAGTCGAACTAACAAATACTAGCGAAGAAAGTGATCTTAACTCAGTTTTACTTACTTCACGAGAACCCTCCTGGGTTTGGGAACATTTTTCAAAGGAATATAATAATAACAATGAGATTATTTCATTTATATATACTATATGCAAACTTAAATATAAGTCAATCAATACGCCAGGAACGCTTGCTAAACATCTACATAATAAACATAGTAACTATGTTGGTAATCGACAAAGCACTCTTGAAAAATTTATAGATAAGCCATATTCAAAAACAGATCAACGATACCGGCAACTTACAGATACAATTGTGGATTTTATAGTTTGCTGCCAGCTTCCTTTTTCTATTGTTGATAATATATATTTTATTACAATGTTAAATAAACTTGATGGACGATACCAAGTACCTTGTCGACAAACTATACGAACTGAGATTTTGAATAAATATAATTATATGCATAAAATAATTTTACAAGAACTTGAAAAAGCTAGAAAGGTTTCAATTACTTGTGATATTTGGAGTTCAATTGCAATGCAATCATATCTTGGTATTACGGTTCATTTTATTAATCATGAATGGCAATTGAAACATTTTTTACTTGATCTTTATTATTTTACTGAATAACATACTGCTATAAACATTAAACAAGCTCTTATACAAGTATTAGATCAGGCCAAAATTACTAAAAAGTTGTTGGGAATTACAACTGATAATGCATATTCGATGATAGCTGCAGGGCGGGAACTTAAAGAAACTCTAGATAATTATGAATTAGTTCATCAGAGATGTGCAGCGCATATACTCAATATTGCTATACAACATGGTTTGCAGTTAGCATCAATAACTATAAAAAGAGTTCGAGATTTTGTAACAAAAATTCGGCATTCAACAAGATTAAGTGAGTCTTTAAAAACAATTTATAAACTTGAAAATAAGCCTGAATTAAGACCTGATTTAGATATAGAGACGCGGTGAAATAGTATATACCTTATGTTAAAAAAATTTTGCCAAATGCGAGATATTTTAGATCTTTTTATTATTAAAAATTGGGATCTTTCTGATTTCTATTTGGGCCAGAGGTTGAGTGTGCATTTAGAGAGTGTGTGCATTTATAGAGGGTGCATTTATGGAGGTTTCACTGT